ATAAGTGCTGTTCACATATATACATCATTTGATAACTCTTTGGTCAGCTGGAGGCATGTGTGAACTGGTCGGGTGGAAATAGAGATGTTCTAAAGTGTACTTGGATATCATTGATGATTCATTTTGCCGGACATATTGTGCTCATTTCATCCAAAGAATGTGGGATGAGTTCTTGCAAACTATTTTTTCGACTACATTGTGGTATAGATTGTGCCATGGTACTTCAACCATACAAGTGTGAAAAGGGCAAATGTCCGAGTGAATTGACCACTACTTGGCAGCTTGACCCTGCACTGGGCATTGCAAACAGACCACTCATCGGTTGGGAGGCAATCCCAAAGCCGCAAAACCGTAGTTTGTTTTATAATCTACTCGAAAAGTCAATATTTGATTTTGTTAACTGTGCCCAAATTGTTTGTTTTGAGCTGACTAATCAGCCACCTTAAATACTCGAGTGGTAATCTGTAGAATGGCTTCTTCACAGAATCGTGCAAAGAAAAAACATCTCTATTGTCAGAGTCGATGACTTGGATTTACACCTGCGGCTTTGCATGAATTATGCAGAGGTTTTTGGCTCATTTGTGCGGGGAGGTTAATTTTTGAAGAGTTCTGCAGTTTTAGAAAGAGCTTTGTCACAGACAGTCACAGTGTACATTTGGAGCTAATACTTCGCAGGAAACAATTGACCATCAACATTGTACTGCATGGAAAAGGGATACTCTTAAAATAGCTAGTTTTGATAGCGTTTGTTAATAAAGTGCATGCCTGGATATGTAATTATTTCTATAATGTCGAGCAAAGAGAATAGAATGGCAATGTTTGATTTTTAATGCTGACTACTGCCATGGACTTTTGGTTGTGAACATAATAACGCAGGAGACAAGAACTTGGCATAGACTGAAAAAAACCCAACATTGTGTGCTAAGGAGATGTGCAAGTAGCAGTATTCAGTCTGGTCTCTCACCAAGAAAAACCACCTTGTACATTCTTCTCGGAACATAGCTGCAAGAGCCAACAGACTCTGAGCATACATCAGTTAAATGTTACCAGACAGTTCTTTTTGAAATAGAATTTGATTCGGTGCTTTCATCAAGGAGAGACCCAGTGGCAGATGGATAGCTGGCAGGGAAATTGAAGAGCTATCTGTTGTGTGGCTGGTGACTTGATAACAATAGCCATTGAACATAAGTTTTGTTGTCTGTTCTTCGTGTTGGAAAAAGTGGAGCTTCTTCCTTGCAATTGGCAAGGTTTCAGATTAGCTGGACTCTGTAGGTAAGTAAAGGAGTTTTTCAAGTGGAAAAGGGAGAGTTAAAATAAACTAATTTGTGGACACTGCTTCTTTTATGCGCGAGGAATATGTCTTTCCCTGATAGGATGATTAACTTCTAACTGTTCGGATTTTGAATAATTTCATTCAGGCTTATTTCATGAAGAGGGAAATATTAGTGACTTTCGATTACAAACCAAGATTTGTCACATCATATCATATTTCGACCATGTTATGTACAATAAGATACTGATGGGAAGAGTTAATGGCAAGCCATTCTGTGGAAATGAGAGAAATAGGTTCAGTTGCAGCCTAGTAAAAGTGAAGATATATGCATTGAACAGTTGATAAATTTCTCCTTGCAGTAAGAATTGCCATAAAAGTGGCCCCTAAATATTGTGCAACATCCTCTTCATCCTTTGTTTGTTGATGTGTCTTGTAGACCTTACAACTCATTGAACAGCTTAAGATTTGACCTCATCAAGTTTTCCAGACGGGAGAAGCCATGCAAGGCTCGATTGTTTGATTGGACGGAAACAGTCGTGCAGACTATTAGGTTTACAGGCAAGGATTCGCCTTTTGTGTGTGATCCTGTACTAAATAATACCTCCCTCTTTACATCATGGACAACATCATGGAGATTCCCCCTCCAGATATGGCCCTTTTTCTGCAATCTTGTGGCTCAGTAAATCGCTGAAATATTCATAGGGTTGGATTGACCTGGATGGAAAATCTTTTGTAGTTGAAGAAAGACGTTCGGTGTGTGCGATAAAGCTATAGAGCCTAGAGATGTGGTCGTATTAATCAGAGGAAGGTGGTTTGAGCAGAATTGACCATTCTTGTGAATGCATGGTATAAGAATATAAGCAGGTGATATGGGTTGTGTTGTGTGATTGAAATATTTTCCATAGGGATCAACTAATGTGATTTGTAGGCTATTTATAACTAGAACAAGATATTTATGAAATCCTGATTCAGGGCACGCCGCATTTGATGCAGAATAGGATATATATATTGCAGTAATGAAGCCAATAGTGGTGGTAATGTGAATATTGCATTACAAAAAAAAATGAATTCGCTAATATATTTTTTTTGCTCCAAAATTTTAATTAATTGCTCATTTGTAAGTCTAATCTGTGAAAAGTTGCATCAGTCTTGTTGAAATTTAGATTTTCTTTTTCTCCTTTGTACGTTTGTTTTGGCTTTGTACTCCCAAATGGCAATAATGATGTTGAAAAAAAAAACAGAAATTAATATATGCACATTATATGCCGCAGCAATTACCTCAACATAACCAACACTTCTTCACTTTCAACCAGAATCACTTGAGTGAAACATCTAGAATTTGATCCTATCTTCCTTTTCTTTATTATTGAATAATTTGTGGTATCACCAAAGGACATATAGCATACAGTTCATGATGACTGTTCAAGAAATTGATAGCACTCTGCCTACTCCTCATGATTTTTTTTTTTGCATTCAGTTTTAAGTTACCATTCTGACTTCAGATTGTCAGAAAACAGTCATCAATCATTTCGGTAATAGAATGTGTGAAAGTATGTGCACGTCTTTAGGGGGGGGGGGGGGAGGGCAAATGGTGTTACTCTCCGTTTCGCTCCATGACCACAGAGGACTTTGATCATCCCATGGTATTCTTGCTGCATTATATGGACCATTTCTCATGCAGACTCTGTGACAAAAGAACAGGCATAGACCATTTATCCAGCCATCGCCATAGATACAACATCCCATCTATCTGTGGGAAATCTGAAACCACTGTGTTTTCCTCCAGGATTCACTCTTGGAGTGGGGTCAATGACCGCCAGTTCATCCGTGGCTCTTCAAAGGGAGGGATGCGTTCCCCACACTGACTGTGGGAGACAGAGGGAGAGAGATAGAGAAAGGCAGAAAGAGAGAGAAAGAGCAGGAGAGAGAGGGAGACAGAGAAGAGAGAAAGAGAGGGAGAGAGAGAAGAGAAAGAGGAGAGAGAGAGAGAGAGAGAGAGGAAGAGAGAGAGAGAGAGAGAGAGAAGAGAGAGGGAAAGAGAAAGAGAAACAGGAGAGATGGAGCAGAGAGATAGAGGGGGGAGAAGAGAGAGAGAGAGAGAGGGAAAGAGAGAAAGAGAGAGAGAGAGAGAGAAAGAGAGAGAGAGAGAGAGAGAGAGAGAGAGAGAGAAGAGAGAGAGAGAGAGAGGGGGGGGGGGGGGGGGGGGGGGGAGAGGAAAAGGGGGGGGGGGGAGGGCATTCAATTCAAGTTAGAGGCGGGAGGAAGGACAGTCAGATGGAGGTAGAGATAGACTGTTATTTGTTGATGAAGATAGGAATACAAAGAAAGGAACAGATCAATCAGACAAACATACAGGCAGACAGAGATGCAGACAGTGAGACTGACAGACAGACAGACAGACAGATTGAAAGGAATACAAAGCATAAGGCAAAAATGAACAGAACTTAATAGAAACTTCAGAGTGACAAATTCAATTAAAGTTGACAAATCAGGAATGAGGAGATATTTTTAAGATAAGAGGAACATTTTGAGTGAATTTGTTTCAGTTATCTGGTTGCAATCCCAAAGATCTCTGACTGTATGAATATAAAGTGAGGTGAAATAGAATTCAAGAGAGGTTGTTTCATCACTAGATTGTAATCCCAAAGTTTTTCTTAAGAATATGCATTAAGAGAGATGAAATAGGGAATATCAAAGTAATATTTGAAGTTAGGATGTAAGATCACTTTGTTGCAGTTGTCAAGTTTATTAGCCATCTAGGAGGATCGAAAGAAAAAGTGGAAAGAGAGATAAAAGAGAAGAAAGAGAAGAAAGGAGGGAAAAGTTTAAGTGAGGCTGTATTATAGCATTACTTAGTTGCAATGTCAGTCCTCATTTCCTTTTCATGAAGAGATAAAGTGGAAGCAGAGATAATATGGAAGATAGCGGTAATTTTTTTAAGTGAGGTTGTAACATCACTTTTACAATCCGAAAGTTCTTCTCCTGATTGAGGGTGATGATGGCCACCACCACACCTAATGATTTTATGCCAGACTTCAGTTGCGCCCCCTCAAGAAACATCCTAGACCACAGCTTCACTAGCTAATCACCAACCCGTAGCTGAGGTTGAACCTTGGGTCATCCTGCCAAGGGGGCTTCCCCATCTCTGAGTGCTCGTTAATGAACCTGCAGGGTTGGTGCTATACACTGTCAAGTCATTAACTCATTTAGAAAAGAGCTTGTTTCTTGAGAGAGTAATGTACTTGTGGTTTGCTGCACCGCATCAAGTGGTGTACACCATTAGAGAAATGATATGAATTCTATTTTTTTATTAAAATTTATCTGTGGACTAGAAGGAAAGACTTTCTTGTCATTTCTTTCCTTGTAGGCTGGTCAGCCACGGAAGGGACTTTGAAAATATACAAAATTCATCATCAAGTTACTCTGGTTATAACAATTCTTTCATGGATTTTTTCTTACAGCCCTATAGGGGATTTCTTAAAGTCCTGTAGGTGCCCATCAGCTTCTTGTTCACTCGTTTACTTATGCCTTGTATGTGTTTTCCCCAAAACTTTTCTTTTCTAACAGTGATATTTATCTGCAGTGTATAGACAGTATAGTAGATTAGATTTACATAGACAGTCATTGGTTTCAAATTATAAAGATTAGTTATTAATCATCTAAGTGTGATAAGATATTTATATTCTAATTTTGGCAATTTCTGTTCTTCTTCTCTTGACCTCTTCAGATTCTGGTTACAGTGACAACCTCGCAGAGAGCCTCTCCGCTTCTTCCTCCATCTCCTCGGCCTCATCAACGACATCGTCCACCGCGCCGAACAGCTCCTCGTACTCCGTCTCGTGCTCCTGCTTGTCCTCGGCGGCCAACCAGCAGCGCAGGACACCACCTTTGACCTCTGACCTCTACGGGCGACTGAATGACCTGGTCAAGATGCCGCGACCCGTGGCTGAGGAGAGTGTGTGTAAGGCCCTACAGCAGAGGTGGATGTGCGGAGAGTGTCAGGTGAGCAATTAAAGTTACAGGATTAGTATTGTGAAACCAGAAATTCTCTTTTGCATTAAACTCGTAGGAACATCAAGTTCTCCATATTTGTGCAATTTTCTTGCCACAAAATGGTTCCATTGTTAGGTATACAAAATTAGATAGAAATTTTGTATATATAATTCCATGTTGCGTGTGACAGAGAGGGTTGATGGAAAAACAGGGATGTAATGTACACCCTTTTTTTTATTTCCCCATTTTGCAGACAAAGATAGGACCAATCATCATAGCACTGAACCCACACAGAGGTCTATCACAGGACCAGGTCCTGGAGCACAGTCAGCCTAGTCAGTACCCTCATCTCCAGAAGCTAGCCCAGCGAGTCCATGCACAGCTTGTGGAACAGCGCAGACCTCAGGCTGTCATTCTAAGGTATGTTCCTCTACTTATAGCTACAGGTTATAGATGTAACATTTTGGGAGCCTGTGAAACTGGTAACAAGACAATTAATACAGGTCGCTCCCATACTCCATAGAGATGCATATTAAAGTGAAAAGAAACAGTAGGCCATTTTATGGATGAGTTCTGGCCTTCTGGGACCTGTTTCACAAAGCCTTTTTTCAATGACATGACAAAAACCAGTGACAAATCTGCTAATAGCCAATCAGAAGCAAGGATTTCACTAGCTTATAACAAAAACTGTCATTTGTTACTGATGACAAGTTTTTGTAAAATGGGGCCCTGGTGAGAGCTAGAAGGGCATTAACTCTAAAAATGGATACAAGCTAACGTCCTTCCGTCGCTCAGGAGATGATATATAGACGGCAATTTGACGTAAGATGTTGCCATGCTACCATACACAACCTGCCAAGTTTGTCCGTAATACACCAAAATGATATAAACATTGACTTCTTGTTACCTGAACTGAATGTCACCCATTAGCTCAAAATATGTTTGCCTCTTCAAAATCCATTACCATCTTCAAGCACACTCACGAAAGCTAAAGTAGTGGATTTCTTCTTTTCACTTGAAACATGTCATCTGTTTCAAGGGCATTATATACTTTTTTATTTTTTGGAGTGGCAGGGGGGGGGGGGGGGGACACATCTATAGCTAGGAATGGATTTAGCATGTGCATCAAGGTTTTCTAACCTTAGTCGAGGCATTTTTCTAATATCACAACTCCTGAAATGGCTCTTCACTTCATGCAGTGAGCTGTAAATGTAGGTTATGAAGTTTGGGGATATATTGCCCAGTTTGAAGAGTTGCAGTGCAGTATTTGAGATGACAGATGTAGGTAAAGGACAATCTGAGTCCTTGAGAAGCATTATGAGTGCGTCTCATCTCTAGACCTGATCATCTCGAACATCCCACATGACTTTGAGTAGTCTGGGACTACGTCCCAGTATTTCTCTGCTTTCATTTTATTCCTCTGTCTGTGCATGCATGGTCTTTATTTAATCTATGGAGATGTTTTTCATTAGGAATCTCTTATCATTTCGAAATCGGCTGGCAGTAAAGGTGGCATTGAATTCTATGTATAAACAGAATTACATGTATCCTAATTCTAGACTTTTTCAACTAGAAAATTAACCAACACTTTATGTTTTTGAAGGAAAATTTAGGATATCTTAGAAGTTTGTTCTCAATGTTACTAGAACAGATACAGCTTTTACTTCACATTCCTTTTTAAATTTTCATTGTTTACTTCACTTCACTTCTGTTAAAAGTATGCATAGAATTTGATAATTTTATCTTGATTAACTAAGAATCTAAACTCTTGCCATGGGCAATGAGGACAATATGTCAGGAATGATTGACATATAGGATTACATATCGCAGTAAATGAATATTTGCGAAGACTACTTTTTAAGAAAATTTAATTTATTAAATAGCACAATGACAAATTAGCCCAATTTCAAACTTCAGGGCTGTAAGAATGGTCTAACTTGTTAACCTATCTGAATGAGAGGGACGATGTGAGAGGAGAACTCTAGAGGGCCCATGAGTAAAACCATCGATATATGATGGAGACATCCCGAATCAATAGAAGCCGTGCTTCTGCTGCCAAAATTGATTCTCTGCGACGACGAGAGAGAAAGAGACGCAGCAGGCAAAACAAGAGAGCATCCCCCGGAGCAAGATATGACAGTTGCCCGTATGACTCTTGTGATGAAATTATAGATTTTGCATGTGAATGTTATTCCGTCCATATAATTTTTGAAATTATAGTGTTTTTATAATTTTGTCACGCGTTGGATGTCTCACTTGAGATTTCCTGGTGATTAATGGGTGATTATGTTGATAAATCGCTGGTAATTCAAACAGAGATTCACACTTCTTTACAAAGAAGATGATTCGGGCAAGATTGATCAGCGAGGGAATGAGTCTGGATGCCCGAGGAAATGTTTTCCTTGGAAGAAAGAAAAAATGAAAGGAGAGAGCAATATTTTCATGATCGTCATCAATTTTGATGTGTTATTCTTTAGCATATGAAATACAAGGAAATATTAAAGTTTATTCAATACTTTCAACCTTTTGGTTGCCAGAAAGGATTAATAATGAATGTAGGTGACTAATTTTTGAATACTCCCAGTCTTTGTTATCCCTCTAATTTCATTGGCGATGCAAATCTCTACGTCTTTCAACATTTTGCATTTCTTTGTTTTCTTTTCATTATTTCAAAGTTGGAAAACACTAAACAACAAGAGAATGGGGAATGGGGAAAACAGCAAGAAAATAAAAAAAGAGAGAGAATACAAAAAAGACAGAGAAAAATGCTCCAACCTACTTCCTATTACAGGAAAGTTTTTCTGAAGTTTTGAGATTTTATTAGTATTGGGATTGGCGGATATTCATTTACCATTTCAATCACTTCCCTAGGATCACTTGAACAATGCCGAAAGGTCTTGTTCGATTTATTCGTCGGACACCGTCTCTCGTATATCTCTCTTGACACCATATCAGAGTGTTTGAAAGTCGGTTTGGATTACGGTAAGGCTTCACGATTGGCCCCTTAATCGAATAACGTGGATGTGTTCGACGGCGACGGGGGGCATCACCAGGATATTAGCGCAGCTAGGTTTCCGGGTGCTTTGATCTGCTGCGTGTACCCAGGGACATGTGTTGTCTCCGTGTGTCTTTTGCCTACTTCCCAATCTTATTCATGTGCACGGAAGAGCAGGGAAGGAGCGGGTTTGGTTGGTTCAATAACTAAACATGAGACCATGCACTGTCAAGGGCATTGATGATGTTGAGCCAAAAGCCTTTGTTCAGCTCCGAGTCTGAACTACTAATTAATACTGCTTTATGTTTAATTGTTTTTGATTCTGTACATGTCTGCTGGTTGATTTGAATGTGGAATTTTAAGAGCCGGCCGTGATGATGATGATGATGATGATGAAGATGATGATGATGATGAAGATGATGATGGCGATGATGATGATGAAGATGATGATGGCGATGATGATGGCAATGATGATGGTGATGATGGTGATGATGATGATGATGATGATGATGATGATGATGGTGGTGGTGGTGGTGGTGGTGGTGATGATGATGATGATGATGGTAGTGGTGGTGGTCGCGATGATGATGATGATAATGAATATGAATATGATGATGATGATGATGATGGTGATGATGATGACGACAGCGATGATGATAATTCTGTTTTACCTGACTGCCTATAAAGCAACCAATGGACCTATAGTTTTTAAGTCCTATCCAAGGGACTTGGGTTATGGAGGAGTAATGCCTACCTGATGGCACTAATACATTGTCTTGGTATTGAACCTAGGTCCTCCTGGTTTATGAGACTACTCTCCTATACCACTGACCCATCACTGGAATAGGGATGAGAAAAATGCTTACAATACTGAATTTTTCAAGGATTAGGTACCATTTGAGATTGGCAGGTGATAATTTTTTTATCTAAAGTGAATTTCGTTATGTATGCCAAACTACTGTCCTGATAATCTAATTGCCAGAATAAAAGGAAGGGAAAGATTGTTTATTGCTTGGTCATTGAACCTTTCCAAAAGGACAACGTGAAAACGCATCTAACAATTGGTTTTGAAAAATATCATTACTGTATTGTGAAAGATAGAAAAGAATCAAATTTCTGAATAAGAGGAGTTCTTTGGCCTCAAATTCAATGCAAACTGCCTAAATGCTTTTCCTTTAATCAGAATAAATGTACAAGTAGATTGCAATCTCTACGTGTTTATGACATCCGTTACATTTGGCCGTACCTGAATAAAACAGATCTATACAGTTAGTTTCCTCTTTTTGTGTTACCATCCTCCATTACCAAAACAAATTACATAAATTGATCCTCATTCTGTATAGACAGGCAGGATTGAAAAATAAAAAATATATGAGAATATTCACTTTTTGCATACCAGGGCAAAATGAAGCGCAAAGTAGGTGTCCTACTGTTGTGGGGATTAGCGGTAAAAATGGTTACAAATTGCAAAATTATGTGAGAAAAAGATGTGGTTAGCCCTGCCTTAGAAAAAACCTTCAAAATGTGTAGACCAGAGGCAGGAAAGGGTTTTATATTGGTGTGGTATATATTTGATTTATCTGTTGACACCTTTCTAATTAAACCACGTTTAACGTAGGACAAGATAAATAAATATGACCACAATGAAAAATGGTATAAACATGCAAAGCCCATAAATGCTGTTAAGTAAATTTGTAGTGCAATTCAGGAATGATCAGTATGTCATTAATCAATCATAATCAATCATTTTCAACCCTTAATTTTCCATTTAGGTTTTGGAAGGAGCAAAAATGTGTTATGAATAGGGAAAAGAGATCAAAAAGCAGATAAGCCTTAAATTAATATTAGGAAATCAACCACTTTGTCTTTAGGAAAAACCTCTGAAACAAAACTTAAGAGTGAAAATTAAAAATTTGCCCTAATCGTAAATGAACAAAAGATTTTATATGTGATACTAAGCAAACAATTTTTTAAAGCCTACTCTTGCTTAGATAAATACCCTTTATATTAATGTGATCTTAACTGAAACAAAGGGAATGAATAATGATGAAATGTTTGCTCAAAATCTGTTTGAACAATAGCGTTATACAGTACAGAATCCCCAAAACCATGTGAATACAGGACTGTGGTTTAGAGCTGTTTACCTTGATGATGACCTCACATAGAAGTACACTCATATTTATTATCATTTACCAAGGCCGTGGGAATAGCAATCAAAAGTATTCTTTTTCCTGATGACGTTTGGGCATTTAATTTGCTTAATTGGTTATTCTTTGTCATATATAATGAAGTTCAGTTTTCATTATTGGCAATACGAATTCAAACAATGCCCTTTAATTATGAGTTAGCTCTAATAATAATGATAATTGAATTGAAGTCAATTCAATTAATTTATTAGTCCAATGTAAGTGCAACAATTGGATATTTGTTTTACTCACATGTAAAATAAAGGCTCAGACATAGTTTACAAAGAACATAAATAGGATATGGATACAAAATATACAAAATTGATAATGATAAATGTAATGTACGATGTCTATGCTCATGATGCAAACCTTTATACAAATATGCTACATGTCTTGCAAAGAGTAAGCTTAGTGGATGCCTGTTGTCTATGGCACCTGCAGTATTAATTTGTTTGTGGTTTACCCTTCTAAAGTAGCTGCATGATTGTAGAAGGATGAGTTTCTGAGCACTTTGAATATCAATAACAACAGCAATCACATGACAGTTAACAGCAATAGCAATGATGATACCAGCAACGATAACAACATAAACAACAACTACAAAAAACTACAACAACGAAGAGGGAAAAAAACACTTTACAAAGATGTAGTGATTGATTACTGAATTGTATCTCCTGTTGAGTGATGGATGGGCATGAACTCGTGTAGATAAGTGGATCTGTCTCTCAACAGATTATAAGCACCATATTTTCCAGGGTCATCAAGGACAATAGTTTTTGTTAAAGTGAAGAGGCAACACTGTTTAAATAAAACTGAAAATAAATAAATAATTAAATAAATGAAATATTACAATGCTGCAAATCTTTGATCTATGCTTGTAAATCCTCCTTTTTATGAATGATTGATGCATCTATGAGTTGAGATCAGAGTTGTGATCCAAGCTGTGATGGACTCTCATATTGCTGTTTTGTACACACAGAATGGAATTAACCTAGAAATCATCTCTGTATTAATTATAGACAAGCAATTGAAGAACATCCACAACTAGTTGTACTGAATACCATTTAATCTTTTCAAATGAATGATAAAAAGCATTCAAAATCTGCATTTATATGAAATGTAATCTTGTAATGGCTCCATTTATAATGTCAAGGTGCTCATGTCAACAATACTGCTACAATAACTTTCATTTGAAGGGTGCTCTAGTTGGCCTAGGGAAAGATGGGGATGAAATTTAATCTATCCAAGAATAATCTACCATTCAAAACCGGGTTCTGGTCCACTTCGCCCGCAGATCCCTAGTATATACGAACAGTCTCTCTTCCCCAACAATAGATTGTAGGGTTTAAGTTATCTAGATGCGGTTTTCATAGTGCGAGAACCCGCATTTTGCTACGATGACGACAGAACCAGGTGATTGATCATTTGCGGATTGCAGCCTGTGTAATTGGTGTCCTATTGATATCCAATAATTGCATCTCTCGCTCTTACATGCAATTTATCATCATTTGTAACGTCAGCCTGTTTCTGCCACGTCTTGCTGCTCCAATAATGATCTTTATGAAGAGTTTCTCCTTGGCCCTGCAATTATATCTAATAGATCATAAGAAGAAAGCTCAAATGTGATTGCAAAAGTCAATGAATATAATTGTGTAGGGCCTACTAGTACTATGAATGATGGAGGTCTATAAGTGTAATATGAGACTGCACAAATGATATTTTTTGTGGAGTCTTTGAAAAATTAGGGAATTGTTGAGACAGGTATGATTATGGACATTAATTTTTCAAACTGGCATTATTGATAGCTTCAATTGTTCCACCATACAGTTATTGGCTTCAGATTTTGTTTTAGAAAATTAAAGGGCCATTTGAAACTGACAATTTCTGTTTTGTGGAGAAAGAGAAAGAGAGAGAGAGAGAGAGAGAGAGAGAGAGAGAGAGAGAGAGAGAGAGGAGAGAGATTGTAGTGGCATTAAATCTATTTACATGTTGACGGATGGATTGATGGATATGCTTTTAATTAGACTAATATTTGCACTTCTGTATCAATTACATGTACTGGCACTGACATTGGAGAGATTGGGAGCTGTATACATTTATAGGGAAAATGGGAAAGAGAAGAAAAGTTAGATTTTAGAAGGCCAAGAGCTTAATGCATTTAACTTCATTAGGGACATAACATAATGTTGCAATCATAAAGAAATTTCCTGCCAAATCATGAATTAAAAAAAAATACAAATCAATGTTTACAATACTGTATATATATAGGTTTTCATAGCAAAATATTGGATTATCATGTGGGACCATGATAAATAATTAATCAGCCTGTAATGTTATTCACTTTGATAGATATAATGTATTTTTCTGTTAAGTTTTCCCTCAGTGAAAGTGCAGAGAGGTTCTGGGAATTTGATTTATGAGGGAATTGTGAGGGTGTAATTTTTGTGTTTTGACCAGCTGTAATCCAGCTATTAGACTTTGTTTGATTTTTGTTATGTTGTAGGGCAAGTTCATTGAATTTCATACTTTACTGCGGTATTCCACTCCTAGTATATACTTTGAGTGTGTATACCCAGATTCAATGCCTTGGGGCTGTTTTCTTGTAGCAGAAGGCATGAAATGAGTTTGGGCCCTTCTGCAGAGATGTGACCTCAATTAAACATCGGGGACTTATCACCGCTTTGACGACTATTAGCACAGGTGCTGGCGAATTGGGGCAGGGGAGGAAAGGTGTTTATGCACTGGTGTAACTTTGTTGAGAGACTTGTTGAGCTAGCTAGAGCAGCCTCTTCTTTTCTAACAAAGATTTGTAATATCCATTAAATTTCCAAGAGAGCTAAGAGGGATATATAGGGCAATGTGTGAAAAGCATGACTCCTTTGAAAGTATCAGTTGTTATATTTATTTGTCTACAAATAGAATCTATTTTCATGAATTGGAATAGATATGTGCAGTATAACTTGTTACTTATGTGAGTTATGTCGATAGAAGTGCACATTGGGTAATTACTGCTATACGATTGGTTTGTGTTTCGTTAGATTTAGTCATGTCCAGTTATCTTACTATACCAGCTGGGGGTGTTTCACAAAGATCCTTAGTCGAACTTAATTCTAAGTTGGACTTAAACATTGCGGAAAGTCATTTGTAGCCTTAAATGAAATATATTCAAAAGCAAAAAAATTCAAGTATTTTAAACTTTTCATTAATACCACATCAAGAACTTCATATCTCCTTGATAATAGAAAAGATGAATGATATGTATCAACATTTTATGCCTTTTAAAATAACTTTTACAAAATAGTTTCAAGTATGTTACGGCTTTCCATAATTGTTAAGTCCAACTTGGGATCTCTGTGAAACACCCCCCAGATTTAATTAAAGGGTAAGAGCATGTTGTCTCGTGATATTGAGAGTCAGAAGGGCATTAATTCATATCAGTTTATATATAACTTGTGCTCTTCTAAGCTCTCAGTGGATGATTTCATTGATTATGAATCATCGTTCTGCCTCAGCTTGTGATAATTTCAACTGTTTCATATGCTCAGTGATCATTCCTTAGTTTGGGAATGATGTGCTGATCGAGCCTCTCACTTCAGACAAAGATATGAACTTCTTATTTGTGTAAGAGGGATGTAGATCATGTAGCATTTGCATATAAAGTATTTTGGATGATTATCATTTGTATCATGTTTGTCATATGTACTGCTGTGGACATTTTGTACATTACATGAAATGTGATGACTATTGAACATACCAGTACCTTGTTCAATGTAATCACAATTTAGGACTTTTCAGTCTAACAGATATAAGTTGGTTTTCTACTTGTGTAATTTCTCTTTTCAATGTTTATAACATTTACTTTTTGTATACCCGGTATGTCAATGAAAATAAATTTCAACTGTATTGAGTTTAATTTCAAAGTAAAGATATATTGATCAATAGCATCAAGATATCTGTACAGATTTGAAAATCAATGCTTTTCTGTCATGTTTACCATGCCATGCACTGGAACGCAGTCATTTTGATGGAGACATTGTTAGTGTTTACTATCTCAATCAAATTTGGCTGAAATCATCTTTACTGAATGTTTCTGCTCTTTCTGTCTCCCTGCAGCGGTGAAAGCGGGAGCGGGAAGACCTACACATCTCAGCTGTTTCTACGGCAACTGCACAGCCTCTGCAAGAAGAGACAGACAGGTGGACCGTTAGATCAGACAGAGAACAAACAATTTCAGGTAAATAAAATCTTTCGCATGCATTTCTCGGCAAATACCTTACTGGGAGTCAGCAAGCATACATTGTGGTTTGATCAAATTAGTTTAAAGTTCCTTGGGCACTTACAATCACACAGTTGTATTTGTATTTGTTTGTGCATGGCAACCTAATCATAGGACTGCAAACATTAGGAATGGTTAAAATTGGTTCCAAGTTGTATGATTCTGATAGGAAGTCATAACTGCATAGAGAAAGGTTTGGGGAAAAATAGACAAAGAGAAGGCTGTACGCTTGAATCCTGGCTCCTCTACTCTGTGATTGTGACAACATGATTTATTTTTGATAGCTAAAGTTTATATATTTATATATTTATATATTGAGAGAGAGAGAGAGAGAGAGAGAGAGAGAGAGAGAGAGAGAGAGAGAGGGAGAGAGAGAGAAGAAGGAAAAAAGGGGTATAGGACTAAAGAGGCAATGAGAGGAGATTAAACAAAAATATTTTGTGAAAGATGCCAAGAAAAATATTAATTTTTATGAACAATAACACTTATATATGATTGAATAACAGCAGATATGAAACAGAACTGGTACCTAGCAATTCAAACAAAACACTGTGGAATCTGAAATTCAATTTCTTAAACTTACAAACTTTGATGTCTAGAAAGAAAACCCTCTTTACAAATCTCTCTAAGAAAGTATGTCTAATTCGTAAGAATATCACCACAAAACTGCATATCTTCATGATTCTGTACGGGTGTCAAAACATGTGTGAAATAATATTTTGAATTTGGCATACCCCACCTGGGCAGTCTACCGACTGAGGTTAATTCCTTGTGACAATATACTAGGTTATTGTGGAGACATGACTCTTGATTTTCATCAACAATTTTGAAAATAACAGGATGGAATGATCTGTCGGAAGTGTAATGTGCTACGGGCATGAACTGTTATGTAGCAGTGTTTTGGTGAACTTTGGAGATTTATTTATTTGCTATTTTTGTCGACCATGTTTGTAATTGGAGAGATTTTTATGTAAATATTTTTGACTGGGCTAGAAGTTCTTAAGTCTTGCTTGTATTCTTTATTGCTCATTTCCTCAGAATGTTCCATTAATTAAGAGGATGACATGTTTTGGTATTAAGAGTGACTTTTTGAAAATAAATGGATGTAAATTGTAATAAATTGTCCGCTGCTTGAATCTTAACAGTACTAAAAGATCATGCCATTTGACAATGTTTCAACAATGTTTTAACAATGTTTTAACAACGGTTATCATTCATCCTAGAACATTTACCTTGATGTTAGTTTTTATTTAATTTCCACACGTAAAAACTCTAATATGTAGTTTCTTTGCCTTTGTTTTGTTTTAGAATTTGACAAATGCTTTCCACGTCCTGAGGGCTGTTGGATGTGCTAAGACAAGACATAACTCATGTGCTAGCAGATTGGTAAGTAACAACAACAAAGACCAAAAAGTGAAGAGGAGATATTGTCTGTTAATATTCAGAAGGGCGTTAAGTCTCTTTTAAAGTATGAGTTAACGTCATTTTGACTCTAAAAAGACAAAATGTAACATTGTCCTCTTATTAGCTAGACAATACATTATGAGCCTGTGTTATCGAATATCAGCTCTGAATATGGATATCTGCATGAAGCCATGAATGTATACACTTTTTAAGTGGCTGATGTTTTTTTTTCTTTAATCATCGCATTGATTAGATTTGGACTAAAGCAAACTTTGACAAGCTCAGACTGTATGTCACTACTGAATGAGTTTTTATAGATTTCTCTTTCCATGTTAATCAGACCATATTCCTTTTTAAACCCCTTTCGATTGGTGCCGTCAAAAAGAGAACAAACTTGCTTCAGATTTGAAACGGATTTTCATAAGAGAACCAAGTGGTTAAATATTCTGAGACAGTTGAGCTGAAATTAAGCTCTGAGATAGAGAGATAACTTGCTTAGGTAGTAGATGATTCTCCTTGTGATATCATGTTGTGGTCCCAGGTATAGGTTTCTACGGTTGTAATAATCTGTCGGTTCATTAACATTCATGTGTGGTAACCCTCCCATCACAAAACATGCCCCGAGGCAACAAACTGCCCTCATCCCCCCAACCGAGGGAGCTGTCCTGTCTACTCAACGTCCCAAGACCGCATCAGCCATCTTGACAGGTCATGGTGGTGGGGTTGGGCACTTCCCCCCAAAACATCCAGTTTCCAGGGCAGAGATTGGACGTTCTGCCCCGAGGCGATGTTCGAGGGGGGTGTCGTGTTCTGAGGTCTAGGCGAGGGGACGGGATTACGTTGCTCTTTAGGGATGATTAAAAAGGGAATCAGTTTCAGGCGTAAGCCGGTGATTGACAGTCAGTGAGGCTGATAGTGGCAACTAATGCGGTACAAGGCGTCATGATATTGATACTGGTAGACTATTAAGTGAGTAACAGTTTGATAAAGGTGTAGCAGTAATTCAAGGACCCATGGAGATTTAAACTTAATCTTTCTACAAATATATTCTTCATCTGTGGTACTTTCCTCTATCCAACAATTGGGATTTTGTCGATACCGGTACTCTAAATAACTGTTTTATCATAGTTCTTTCTCGTCAAGATGGCTTACAGTTGGAATGTTTCTTGCAGTCTCAAAACTAATCATTCTTGACTTATGTGTCCTTAACATTTTCTTCTATTTTTGTGTTTTGTATAGGGTCATCATGTTGAAGTTCACTTTGCGGGCAACACAATAACGAGAACCAAGTTTCAATGTCACTGGTTCGATCAAAGCAGAGTGGTAGATACTCCTGTTGGTGAACGTAACTTCCATGTATTCTATCAGGTGCTAGCCGGTCTTTCTCATGAAGAAAGAGGTAAGTTACCACTCAGCAACGAATCTTACTCCACCATTCCAAACACCGTTTCATTTTTATAAGACATACCTTGATCTTTCCTTATGAATTCAAAATAATGCATTATTTTTCATTTTACAAATTTCACAGTAATATAAGCTGGAAATTGAATTCTTGATTTACTGTATTTAATAGGCAATTTTGAATGTGTTTTATATTCTGATTAACTGAATAAACTGTAGTTCTTGCATTTTAACAGTGCACACGCCCTTTGAAAGAAATGGAGAGAGAGAGTCTCAGAGATAATTAGAGAGGCAATGAAGTTCACTATAGATAGAGGTGGATAAGAGTTGAGGAGAATTTATTGAATACAGTAGGCCGGTGGAGGGTGTGTGTGTGTGTGGGGGCGGGGGGGGGGGGGGGGGGGGGAGGTGAGACAAGGTGATTAAAGAGAGAAGTGGAGAAAGTAAATGAAGGAAGAGAGGCAGATAGGGAGAGGGAGAGAGAGAGAGAGAGAGAGAGAGAGAGAGAGAGTGAGATAAGAGAAAGAGACATGCCTAGTATGCATGTATTTTGCTCATATCTGTGTGGTTTTCAGTGTGACCCACTGGGAGTCTAGAAAGGCGTGGTGCATGACAGTGCTTTCATTCCAGCCTGCTCCTCAAGTGACATGTACAAACCGAGCCAAGGGGAACTCCCTTGTGTCATTTGGGGCATGACATCACATACTATCTGGATCTGAAGGGGATGTCCCATATGAATATTAATGTCATGAGCAGGGTTTTGTGAGCATTGTGTGACTTTGTGCTTTAATCAATCTCACATTTTACCTCACAGACCTGTCATTTCCTGGATTGATTTTTATCTGTTCAGATATATTGTTCCTCCAGAACATGCATCATTATGATCTTGCATGTATTTCAAGAATTACAACGATCATTTTGGAGGAAGAAAGTGAACAAAAGATGATGAGGGCTGACGTACGCCAAAGCTATCACCTTCAGCTTCTCCAGTCTTTTAATGAATCTTCAAAAGTTACAAAGAAAAGACGTAACAAATCAGAAATTGTTCTTGAATATGTAAATATATTAAATGTACTTTGTGCAGTAAGATGAAAATGATTCTGTATTTTGTTTCGATCTTGTGTGGTGAAATTGTGCTCAGACTTATATCAATAGCTGAGATACTTTTTTTCTTTTCTTAGAAAGATATTCACTGTTAATGCCATACAGCAGGCCATCACCAAGGTAGTCAAATAACATCACATGGACTATATAAGTATCATTGTAATTTATTGACACTAATTGTGATTTTATCCCTTTACTGCCATACAGCCAAGCTTCATCTCCATGGTTACGGTGTCCACAATCTTGCCTACCTGAAACAAAGAACAAGCCCAGAGAATGAGGGGGTGGAGAAAGAGAGATTTCACACTTTAAAGGTTGGTAGTTAACATTCATTATTCAAGAGATCAGTAGTGATTAAAGGCATCGTTTAACAATGATAAATTTGAGATGCAAGGCCCTATATGTTATCATTGTCTGTGATATAGTGTAATATTGAGGCCCTAAATAAATTGGGCTTCAAAACAATCATGAAGTGTCTCAAAAAAGTAAAAAAAAACTCTGAGTGACCGGTTTTAACACTCATTTTCCCCAGTAGACTGTAGTGTTATAAAAACTGTTAGGAAAACGAATTTTTAAATTTCATATCATATATCATATATATCTTGATAATCAGACAGGCGATCGGCTTGTTAAAGTCATGGGGTTCCTGACTGACCTAAAGGTTTATAATCATCATTGCAGCTTGAGCTAAATCAAGGATTTTTTTAAAGGATCTAAGACTCTCTTAACATACGAGTATGTGTCTAGTGTCTACTTCTGTTCTGTTGAACAAAGTTGTTTAATACTTTCAGATGGATTGATTCATTAAGTGAGGTACATTCAGGAGTATTAATTGTATGAGTAACCAAATAGAATAAAGAGAGAAGATGAACCATACATTAGGTGAAGTGATAGTCAAAGCATATTCACAAGATGTAATAGAGAAACACAATGTAATGTTACATTTTTAATGCGATTCCAAATCGAAAAGATTCCATTTTACTTGCCTAAAGGCCTATGTGCATTGTTCTGAAACTATGATTTTGTTGGAAGTATTCAGAACATTCTGATGCTTCAAGCCTTTTTGGTTGATTAATTTGTCAATAACTCACTCATCTTCCTACCCATTAGTTAATGCATTCATATTAAAGCTATATCGACATGTTCCGTCATCATTACCAGAGGGTGTTAAAACATTTATGGAGCAAACTTGTTGAGTTGAGCTCATGATAATGGTAGGGTTATGAGCACGTTCTCTTGTGTTGGATGACTTCAAAGAACACTGTTTGAGCATGCACACCATCAGCTATCAGAAGCAAGCAGTAAGAAGAAGAAGAAAAAAACAACATGCATTTTGCCGTTCAGTCACGCAATCCACTTGTCCCAAACCATGTATTACTTGGTTCAAGCCACTCACAGCAGAGTATAAGGTTTCCTTGAGAACACCCACGGGATGCTATAGAAAACCCGAGTACCCTTGACCTTGCATCACTTTCAATATGTGGGACAACATTACGGGCGTGATGTATTTTGGGTCACAGGTGTACTTGGGTTTCTTCCAGCTCGCATTCAGACCCATGTGATTGGATAGCGTCACCCTCCCCGACTTGAAGAATGTCATGGAGTCTGTACTTTAACCCAACAATAACAAGGTCTTGGTGGGCAGGCACAAAGTGCAGCGGAATAATAGACTTTGGAAGTTCATAGCAAGTTTACTGAACTGATATGAGTTTGAAATATAATCAAAAACAACAAAGGAAAAGGATTAAAGAAGTTGAAAAGCTGATCAAACATATCAGAGAGCTCAAAATCACAAACATCCGTCCATGCATTCATGTTTTACTTATCCCTTTGAACTTTTAATCCTTTATTAAGGTTGCCCTGTCAACTCTTGGTATTGAGTTCCTCGATGTCATGAGAATACTGGCGGCCATCTTGCTTCTGGGGAATGTGCACTTTGTAGACGATGGAGGGTATGAGCTTGACATTAAAGGTAGCAATGGTAAGTCTGCTCAATCTGCTATAAAATATTTATTATCAATAAAACATTTTTTATATGATGTAAATATCCTTAAAAGTGATCCCTTGGATAGTATGAATTAATAATTATCTCGTTTATTACCATAATGTAGTTTTATGCTATACTGCACGCTCGACCCAACGCAAAATAATTAAAAGATTGATTAGAGGGAGTCTGTGGAAACTTTAATTGTTTTTAAGAAGTGTCATTGTTATAAAAAGAATTGTGCCTCTGAAATTCATTGTACAGGTATAGTGTATACCTTCATGTCTTTTTGTTTGTCTTATAAATCAAACTTTTGTTGACAGTTCTTTGGGTTTTTATTGGACTTCTGCTGTGTCTATGAATATTACCCGTATCAGATGCCTTTAACTAGTTGCAACTGTACTTATAAACCTTGTGATTATTAAGACTTCTCCTTTGTCTATGACTACAATATTCATCAAATTTAATCTATATTTTTGATAATTTTTCTTCAGAAATCAAAGCAGTAGCATCTTTACTTGGAGTACCTGGTGTATCACTGTACCGAGCATTGACAACAAGAACACATACTCTCAAGGGACAAGCGGTTAAAACACTGTGCAATGCTGATCAGGTAAGTTACTCTATTGTACCTTAGGAATATGAGAATTAACAAAAATATAATGTATAATGACGATTGTCGACAGGTTTTTCACACTGCTTTAAAGTGAGAAATTTGATAAAATGAGCTTGCAGTTATGGCTACAAAGAACCATGGATGACCACTATTCTGTGGATGTAATAATTACAATATCTTGATTTAATTGAAAATTCAATTATGTTTGGTGTAAGTTATACACTTTCTTTTTATAGTATATAGATTAAAGGCAATACCTTTGCATAACATATTTAGTGCCAAATATTGGTGCATTGATTATAAAGACAGTATTTTATGAATATAAATTATAATCTAAATTGCCTTTCTCTTTCAGGCTAATGAAACAAGAGACACGCTGGCGAAGGCCCTCTACTGTCGAATGGTCCTATCAGTTGTGAAGAGAATCAACAGTGTGTTCAAGCCAAACTCGAAATGTCCGCCATATGTAGCGCCCTCTATCAGTAGTGAGGATACACAAAGCAGTGGTAAGTTTGCACATGCCTTGGGTGTATACTTTTGAGAACAAGAAAGCTGTGCAAGTGATTTCACTTAAGCTACAGCTGTATGTGGCCGGTGAAATAACTGGCCAAATTTATGTTGTTCTCAAATGAAAGAGATGTATATCGTTTACCTAACATTCATGTATAGTGAAGTCATTATCTCATGATGCAGTGTTTACTCTACATACTAGATGGCTCATAAAGAAATGATTTCAAATAGAATTCTAAAGGAATTTTGTCAATGATTTATATTTTGGCAATTAAAATGCCTACATGTTTTTATGAAACCTGCTTTTGATACATGAAGTAGTGACATGTATTAAGTGTGGCATTATATAAATGTACTGTTTCACTAAGTATTTCTACAAATAATGATATAGATACTTACGAGCTAAGACAAAATATGACATTTTAATTTTTTAGGAGATTCTTGCAGTAGACTGAGTGATTCCACAATGGAGTTAAATGGCAGTTCATCACTGACAGAGGGCAGTAGACATTTAGAAGGCACGGTTCACATCATTGATATGCCAGGCTTCTCCAACACACAGGTACATTAAAAAAAGCACTTTGAGAAAGTTTGTGATAGAAAAGTAATTAAATCTGTAATAAGTCTGTACACCATAAAGGTAAATTACAGATCTGAAACCATTATTATTATTATACGTTTGTATTTTATCTTGTTAATTATTAAGAATTCCTGTTAGATATAGAAAGGTTCGTAGTAAAAACATTTTCCTTCATGCTTACAATATTTAACACTCATAATTTTCTGAAGTTCATATTTGTAGATTCTCTGAATACTTGTACTGTCTGCGAAAGAATATTTATGGATTTTTGAATGATATATCAGTTAGCTTCATTATTCATGTAACTCTTATACTTTGTTTATCAAGCATAGTTTCAAAATGCAATACAAAAAAAGATGTATGCATAGTTAGAATCACATTGTACAAAAGCATGTTGCTTATACATTTTTATAACAGACATGATACATCTTTCATACTTTCACATATCTGGTTTTCAGTGCAATAGAATAGAAGACCTGTGCTGCAACTACTCATCTGAGGTGCTACACCAGGTCTACCTCCAGCAAACCTTCAAGAATTCCCAGGATGCAGGTAGAGAGGACAGGCTCGTCATGAATCCTGTGCCATTTCAAGATAACATTTCCTGTGTAGACTTTTGTGCTTCAAAGGTAAGAAGGCTATGGCTTTTATATCCCACTGCTGCCACCATGATATTCAGAAATCGTTATTTCAGAGCTTTCTTTTCTATCCAAAGATGTTTAAAGGTAAAGACCAGTATTGGAAACGCCCCCTCTCAAAAAATGAAATGGAAGCTCTTATTACCAATCATGTGAAAGAATATGTTTTGACTAATACGTGATCATACAAATTTTGCTGAGAAACCGCCTACTAATTGATATATTTGGTACATTATTATATCTATTTTGACCTGATAGATATCGCGCACGTGTCGCACACGTGTTGCGTAGTCCCATATACATCTTTCTGTGTACAGTGCTTGTTAATCCTTTTTGAGGTAGTTACATTTTTTTCTTCTTCAAATTGAAACATTGGCTTTTGTAATTCACCAACATTATTGCTGCAGAAATAGCTGTTTTTAAACAATTATCTAAAGTTACAATTTGCATTTTTTTTCCCAGTTATAATTCAAAGAGGGTTTATCAAACTTTATATATGTATATAATCACAATATCATTGCAAGTGAAAATACATAATATGTGTGTTAGATCTGCAAGTTTGTCAAAAGCAGGATGATAGTATAAAAATGCTCTTATTTATAATGGAATTACTAGGCTTTTTAACAATTCCCTTATATTTCACTACAAATGTATTTTTTTCAAATTTCGGTTTAAATACCATGCAATTGTATTTATATCTCCATATGTTATTTCAACTATTATTACTTTCATGGCTTGATGTTATTGTATGTAGTTTTACACCTATTGAAAGAATTCTTTTTCTCTGTAATGAATGTGAATGTGAAAAATGAAATGAAAACTAAACTGAAACTGAAACTGAAATAGACATTGAAACTCCTGCCTATGAATTTTTTTTAACGTTTATATTTGTATAATGCAATAATATTGTTGTTCATATTTTTGTAGAACGGCCTGTTTTCAAGCATCGATGCAATGTGTAATCAACCGGAGCAACACACAGTAGATGAACTGCTCAGCAGAACCAACAAGAAACATAAAAATGGGTATGATCCGATACAATGATTAGTGTATATAACCAGGGGAAAGAGTTCCTAACTGGGTGATCATAGGGATAACATGAGAAGCTAGACTGCTAGGATGTTAACTTAGAATGATAACTGTAAATATCTCGCCTTCTGACTGTCTGACTAAAAAAATTATTCAATTACATGAATAGCCAAATTAAAAACAGAAAACCAATGTGTTATCTTCTTTGTGATAAAATATTGCAATTAGACAACAGTACTCCAGTTATGTTTGAAAGTCAAAATTTAGATCTCAGTACAGATGAACTTTAACGGTAGGTGAGTTCCAGTTGACACTCATTTCAAGAATTCAATGGTATGCTTCAAGGTTGGAAAGGAGAAACAGAGTGTAAAGGGGATATGCTTGTCACTTTATTAACTCTGTCTTTAATCTATGGCCTTCTGTTTTCTCTGAAGAAGAACTGTCTCTTGTGAAGCTATTTATTGTCTCCTACTCACGAGAAATACATGTACATATATGTGTTGTGGAATCATCTAGAAAGGCCACTTGTCTATGGGCGAATTCCGCATTTAAGTGTTGAAATATTTAAAAAAGGCTGTCTTATGCCTTATTTTCATGGAAAAATGGTTGGGAAAATTCAAAATTGGTTAGGAGAATTTACTGTTAGATGCCTTCAAAGAAAACCATAAACATCTTTGTAGTTTGAATTTTTTTTCAGGATGTTTAGCATGTTAGACGGTTAATACAGTAGAAGGGATATAATAAGTAACATTTTATACACAAATTACACTGTTCTTTCATCAACCTTCAACAATGTTACGGAGTCACTTTAATACTGGTTTTACTGTTATGTACATGCATGTATTCAATTTCAAGTTTTGCCCCTTGCATCCTCGCAGTGTATTTGCCGTTGAGCGTGAGAACAAGCACCTGTTCACCATCAGACACACATCAGGGGAGGTGAGGTACAGTGCAGCAGACTTCCTAAAGAGAAGCAGGGATGTGATCAGTGATGATGTCCTCACCATCTTCAGGAGGAAAGGATGTAGCTTTGGCTTTGCTTCTTATCTCTTTGCTCCTGAACTCAAGCTTCTTCAAGGTAAAGCATACTGTTGTGATACCTCCACAATCTTGTGATCATAATCATATAATAATAATAATAATAATACTCATTTTTTATATAGCGCTTATTAGAATCACTAAGCGCTTCCAAACTTGGAGATTATCACTCCTGATTTAGCTGTGCTGCTATTTCGGCGCTCTAGCATTTCAAACAATTAATTCCTGCGAGGTACCCATTAACATCACATGGGTTGAGTGTGGCAAATGTAGTCTTGCGAAGGACATTAGTGACGCGGCGGGTCTCGAACTGCGAACCTTGTGATCGATAGCCCGCGACTTAATAATATCATGTGCACAATGCTCACACAGAATATTACGATATCACGTTTCTGTGTACATTTCTATAGTTCGTTGTTTGAAATTGTTACCATAGCTTTAGCTAGATCTATGTGTAATGCTTTACAAGACAAGAACCTGCACACATGGATGAGACATGTAACAATTGCATCAAACAAAAACTATTAATATTTCTAAATATCCTTAATCACACCTATATGTATTTACACTAAACCATCCTGTTCATGTAAATTCATTTTTCATTTCTCATCTAGGAAAAGCTGTGAAGGGTCTACTATTCCGGATCTGTCCTAGACCGCACCTCTCTACCCAGTCTCATCACATCCTATCAGACCCCAGCATTGGGAGTTTACCCATCGACAGTCATCATCGTCTCAGTGAGCTGCGGGACTCCCTCACTAGGCAGCAAGCACAATTTCATTTCATACAGTGCATCAAGGTAGAATTTACATTACCAGCAGTTTTCTTTTTTTGGATTTTCTTTAAATTTTGAGGGGTCATTTGATCTTGGCGACTTTAACTGTTTGTAAATATAAGAGTTAAAGGCACACTGTCCTACTTGTAGCTACTTGCTCCCTCTATATAGAAAACTTCCCCATGCAATCGGTGCCTGTTGGTCCCCCATGATCCTCTTTTTCTTATGTTAAATGAGACTTATGTTAAATGAGAGCTGAGTTAATGAGATAGCCACCTATCACAGTGACCTCGCTGGCTTGCTGGGTGGTCTAATCCCTTCTAGCTGAAGTAGTAAAGCCTGCCTTTAAGAAAATTTACATTAATTCCTCAATTCAAATTAGGGATCTGTGTTCTCATTGCTGGGGGGAGGGGAGGGGGGGGGGGGGCTGGGGGTTGATGGTTATAGTGTCAAATATGTCTTCAAATTTTGGAACTTGATGCGAAAACTCCTTGAAGGGTACATCAAGTCTTAGAATCAATCTTATACTTCAGTGATCAAATAGAGTTTATCATAACAAAAGTCCATTAGATTACAATGATCATACTTGGTGAAAAACTCCCTAGTTTTTGAAATTCTTTTTATTATGACTCGTACTTCATTTCCAAAGAAAGAATATTACAAATCATTTCAATATAAGTTTTATTGTCAGATGAAGATCTTCACTTCCCCCATCTTTTTATTTGCCTTCATTTCTAAAATTTGCTTTACTATACGTTTCATTTTCTCAGATTAATGATCAGGAATCGAGTAGCCAGTTCTCCTATGCAGTGGTAGCCAGACAGACACAGGCCTTTCAGCTTATGGCCACCATAAAACACATGACAGATGGTGAGTACAGTACATGATTTATAGGAAATTGATTTGATTTTATTCCCATGTTCAGTATCAGTAAGATTATGTTTTTTAAAGATGATTTGCAATCTGTATACTTATATTAGGTCTAATTCAGAGAGAAAGTGATAGAGAAAATAAAGAAAGATAGAAACAGATAAAGAAAGCTAGAAGCTGAGGGAATGGGAATGTGAGAAAAAATTAGTAGAGAGAGATATGGAGGGAGAAGAAGATAATAATGATATCAAAGGAGAGATAGGGAGAGTAAGAGAGAAAGAGAGAGAGAGAAAGAGAGAGAGAGAGAGAGAGAGAGAGAGAGAGTGTGAGAGTGAGAGAGAGAGAGATAGAGGGAGGGAGAGAGGTAGAGAGAGGGGTATAGAGAGAAAGAAGGATGGGGAGGGGTGAGATCTGGAGAGAGAGAGATTACAGGGGATAAGAGGGAATGAGGAGGAATGAACAGAGCAAACAAAACAATATTTGAATTGATTAATTAATCATAACTTTTCTACCACACACTATCTGATTTTCAGGTTATCCTCACTATGACACCATAGATAACTTTGTCAGGAGATATCAAATGATGCTAGAAAGATGGCAGAGGAACAAAACACCAAGAGATCAATGCAAAGTAAGAATCATTTCATCATACTACATCCGAGACCCTAATTGTCGAGTAGCTTACCATTTCAAAGTCTACCAATGCTAATAGAAAGTATTTCAGAATGCACACTATGTTCTGGTTTATCTAATGGATTCATGAACTTTTGTTTTAAAACATTCACTTGAAATTAACTTAGAGGAAATACACATCTGAGTTAAAACAATTAGATATTCATAACCCAGGTAGATGTCTGAAGTTTTAAATGTCATAAATTTTGTAACCTGTACTTGGTACTTGGTTGTTGTTCCTCCAAAAGATTTCTAGTGGAATTTAAACTGGAGGTCGTGGTGGCAGAGGGTGGACTTATTTCGGAAGGAGTGCTACTTTAAACTGTATATCTGTTTAATCACCAATTTTTGCTCTTTGTATCCATTTTTGTTATACATGTTACCTTAAATTTTTTCATGTGGATAATAATTAAATAATGTGAATAACAATTTGAAATAAAATGTGTTATTAACATGTAAGAAGAAAACGATTTTGTTGTTGAACATATTCCTAACATTAACCAACTGTGATGCATTTGTACCACTTTTCACAGGTGATATTGGAACAGATCATGAGAAGATGTGAACTGATTGAATCAGTGAGTACTCAGAACAAGTGGATCATCAGTGAAAACAGGGTCTTCTTCAGGTAAGAATCATATCCTGGCTTGAATTTCTTTGCTTAATCAGTTTCTTATACCATATTGCTTATTTTCGGGTGTCCACTTTATAATTTTTTTAAACCAGAATCTTTACAAGTACATGTACTCATACAGTGATGTTTCTTTAATAAAGATTTAAACATCAAGAAAGCCCTTTCTCTTTTCTCAACAATTTATTCATTTCTTGAAATTGATGTATAATTTAATTATAAAATGATATCAACTGAGATAGTGTAGATTGTAGTCTAGAAAACTGTGCTAAATCTTGTGTGAATTCATTGTCATCTGTTTAACTTTCATGTCATATACATGTATGTCGTGTGATTCAATATATTTTGTTAGTTGTTTTAGGATTATTTTAGTGTTATATTGAATACTATACATGAGATGATGATGATGGCCAATGATTGTTTTACCAGACTGCTTAGATAATATGTATATTCTTGTAAGTAAATAACAAGGGGACTGGCAACTCTAAGTTCTGTCCGAGGGACTTGGTAATTAGGATTAATGCCTAACCAAAGGGCACAATGGCATTGACTTGGTTTTGAACCCAGGACCTCCCGGTTATGAGGCCTCTGAGCCAATGCACAACTTGATAACTTGGATGAACATACTGAAAATCTGTGTAAAATGGTATAAAATTAGTTCCAATGGATCTCAATCTCGATCTTATCAAATACAAACTTATATTTTCACGATTCTTTCCTTCTCCATTTTCTCCCTGCAGCGAAGAGACGAGACAAGGTCTCGAGTCTGTACGTGATGGCCATCGTGACACGGCAGCACGTTTCCTCCAATCCAAGGTACGCTGCTGGCTAGCTAGACGTCACTGGCCCTCAGACATTGATCCGTATGAAGAGTGCAGAGAACACCATGTCACAAAGATATCCTTCAGGGAACCCCTTTACGAAAGGTAATATATCGAAGGGTCAGTGGCTCAAAGACGTAACTCCATTTTGGCCATTTTGAGAAAAAGTAGTTTATGTGTCACTGAGCACTTGGGCCTTAAGGAGTTAAGTCTATGTTTCACTAGCCATTGACTTCAATGGGGTGTTGGGTGGGGTTAAGTCTTTATGTTTCCTGCAAAGCCCACATTTTTCTGAACATTTTGATATCAAATAATCATTTTGGCAAAATATGGAGTTGGGTCTTTGTGTCTCTGAACCCTCTGAAAAATAGTTATGAAAAGCAAAAAAATTGTAGTAGATGTTTCACCAAGTATTCTTGGTCCAGGAGGCAACATTAACACCTGTTTTGACTTGTTTGTTACAAAGTAATACAATCATAGATTTTCATTATTAGTTATATGGTGCCAGCAGGGAGCTACAGAGAACATTGTTTAAGAGATGGAATTTAGAGGGTTAATCTTTATTCATAGTTTACATGTAGTTATGCAATGAAAAATTACTACTGATGTATTTATATTAAAATAAATATTTCTTCTTTTTAAAGGAAAGAATACATTTGAAACAAGGCTCAAAATTATCAGATTAATTATAGATATTTCAGGTGAATGTAATGAATTCTTAAACACAGCTTTGAATGCAATAGAAATGTTTGTATATGTTGACTAAACAAAGCATTTTAATTTACCTTTACAGGATCAATTTCTCAGTGGGTGATAACAGCAGCGTGATGTCCGACGATACGAGCAGTATTGAATGCAAGAAAGCTAGGATGCAAAACAGGGTCTATGATACAGCTAAGGAGGTAGGCTATCATGTCATATTTACTGTAGCAATTTTAGATATTTGATTTTCCTACTAAAATCTACATCTCTGCTGAGAGCCAGAAAGATGTTAACTCTTTATGCATATAAGGGTAATGGACTAGACACTTTTCTGTCTCTCAGCAAACAAATGAATTGAAATAGACATTAGAATAGGAGAGGGGGAGGGTCGCAGAGCCACTCAATGAGAGAGAGAGAGAGAGAGAGAGAGAGAGAGAGAGAGAGAGAGAGAGTGAGAGAGAGAGTGAGAGAGAGGAAGGGAGATAGAACAAGCAATCAAATATGAAATATATATATAGAATGTGTATATTTTATTCAAGATAAAGGGACAAGGAGAGGGTCTGATGGAAAATAAGGGTGGGGGGGGGGGGGGGGGGGTCATAAAAAAAGAAAACAAAGGCTTACATTAAATAGTTGGACAGATTATATGTTTTGTCATATTGGCTGAATGTTAGAAATTATATCAAAATAATAACATTATTTGCTATCCCTTTGTGTTACTCATAAACAGGACGTGCCTCCTCCATTGCCTAGCAACCATCCATCTTCAGCAAAGATCGATACTGCCAAAGGGTTTCCTCAGACACGCATCATGAGATGCAACTATTCACCAGGTAGATATTATTCAATTAGATTACTTTACTCATTAAACATAAAGCAGAAATGACACATGTTATCTACCCTGTTTAGATTCAGGGTCAAGAATTCAAGGTTAATAATCAACATGATTAAGTTCTGTCATTCTCTTTGCACTAAGAATGGTACAACTTTATCTTGGTTAAAAACTAGAATGCTAATTGTTATACAGGTATATTAAATCAATAGAATGGTGAAGTACATGTACTTCTACTATATCCTTACCAAGATTAAAAAGTTATTTGATAGCCATTGCATAATAGTATTAGTGGTAATTGTAGTGATAGTGGTAGTGCATTGTAATGGAAGTGGTAGTGTAAGTTGTAGTGTTTAATGGTAGTGGTAGTTGTAGTGTTAGTGTTAGTTTTAGTGTTAGTGGTAGCATTAGTGGTAGTGGTAGTGTTATTGGTAGTGGTAGTTGCAGTATTAGTGGTAGTCTTAGTTTAAGAGGTGGTTGTAGTGTTCAAATTAGTGGTAGAGGTAGTGTTAGTTTAAGTGTTAGTGGTAGCATTAGTGTTAGGGTTAGCGGTATTGGTAGTGGTTGTGGTAAGATGGCTTTATTGGAAAGCAGGAGCATTTCCAGCCATCCCTTTTTCTCTCATTCATTTCCATATTTTCCTATGCCTAAATTCATCCTCATTTCTGCTCCTGAATTCTTTTTCACAGATATCTCGTGTGTAGAGCCACTGCTGAGAGCGGGCGAGCCCATTCTGGTAATGGGGGTGAGCAGCACCAAGGACATCCTCATCGTGGAGCACAATAATTGCACCTTACAGGTCCCTCTGAAACTCACCACTACACAGGTAAGAGAACAAAAATGATCTAAAGAAGATGTGAATATGATGAATCGGACACAAAATAAAAAGAAGGAAAGAGAAAGGGACAGAGAGAGAAGGAGAAAGAGTAGGAGAAAGAAAAGAAGATATAGATGGGTAGGGGAAATATAAAGTTGATGAATGAAAGAGAGGGAGAGAGAGGGGTAGAGAGAGAGAGAAAGAAAGAAAGAGGGGGGGGGGGGAAGGGGGGGGGGGGAGTGGGATAAATGTATAAATGCTAGAGAAACCTCTCCCAAAGAAGAAATACAATAAGAGAGAAAAGTCAAAAACTGGTAAGAAGAAGGGGCTTATCTTAGAAAATGGATATCAGTACAATATCCTTCTCTTGATGTATATTTGTCCTCATGTACTACATAAATTTATTTCTCAAGTTGATAAAGAAATTGTGGAATCATATGTCTTATTTTCTTTCCTTTCTTCCCTTTCTTTGCAGACTGGTGATTGTATCTTAGGAACAAGACTCTGAAATGTCAAACAAGTATAAATGTATGAAATTTTGCAGGAGAGCATACTGTATACTGTACAACTCAACATACCAGCAGTCACTCATGCATTAATGCCTGGGGTGCCAATAGCCATTTTCATCTACTGAGTTATCCAGCCTGCAACGGAAGGGGCAAGCTTAGTTTACAATGGATGACAGCTCCGAACATACACATGGGGAACTAGCAGATACATTGGCCCTCATGATCAAAAAGTTATACCAAGCCTAAGTAGTCTACTAAAATGCTCACCTCTTCAACAAAGCACTGTAATTTGCTATCAAGATGAACAGTCAAAAACTTCAATTATTTCAAAAGTTATTTATTTGAACTATTTATTAATTCAATATTCTCAATGTCAAATACTTCGTTTATTCCTTTTTGTGACCAAATTGATGATTTTATTTATTTATATTAATGTTCCCAACAATTTGTAAAGAAATCAGTGGTTGACACTCGGCCTTCTGTGAATCTGCCAAAATTTGGTTGCTCTCTAGAAAAGTGGGTGCTCTTTTTTAACGATGAGAGTCCATGAAGAATCACATGAAATTGCACCAGTTAGACATGAAATGTCACATCAAGGATTCATGACATTTTTTGCTTCTTTGACATGCATGTTTTGAATAACGTGTGTAATAAACAATATAAGACGATGACCTGCTGTACCATTGACAAGTTCTAGTTTAAAACTATTACGATTGTACTTTGTATGAAGCAAATGCTATTAGAGGAAGTATGGACACTGTTAACATTGCTAGTCATATAATGAGGTTTTTTTAATTATTTCTTCTCAGATGAACCCTGTGTATTGCAATTGTTCTAATCCTGTTCAAGGCAGACTTATGATATTTAGAAATGGTACTTATAGACAAAAAGACAGGTTTCTCCGTCAGATAAATTGTGGTTCAACAAAATCCTGCTCTGTTGTAATAAATCTGTTCATAAATGTATAGATGTATTCCTACATTCAGAAGAACAAATATCCTCAAGTATATTTATCACCATTAACATGATCAAAGATCAGGGAACCATGTGCTGTATTCCTTTTATACTATGACCAAATTCAGTAGATATCTTTTCCTCTAATAATTCACTTCGTAATGAAACTTTTTAGAAATGTGCCAGATTTTTCTAATGAGTGACGTGGTTGAGAAAAAACCTTAAAAATGATTGATAGCCGGTTACTTCATTCCAGAGATGGAAGGGAAATCCCAGGAATATCTTGACTAAATAACAATTCTTTCATTATTGGTACACTTTCATTTATCTCCATAATGGTTCAGGGGTGTGAATACATATTGGAGTGCTGTGTTCAATTCAATAATGATAAGTGTAGATAAAAATTCACATCATTTGGAAAGGTTCTTATATCTGTATGTATGACTGTTTTCTTTCACAGCGTTTTGCTCTGAAATTGTAACATCTATCATTCTGTGAATATACATAGCAATGCCGAAGTTTATTTTATATAAAATGGAAGATATTGTTTCATTTAGAAACTTCAGTGTAATAAATCGAGCTTCCTCCTTTTTTTCTTTACGTGAAAGTATACTTTCTTACAAAAAATGCTTATATCCTATACAAATGGTGCTAAACTTGCAAAGGGTTGGAATTATTATTATGATTTGCATTATGTTTTTGAAGGTTTTAACATACTTTTTGTGACAATGATTCAATGACAAGCTCTGAACATTAACGTAGCTAGAAAAACCGTCCTTACAGGCAAACTGCTGCAACTACTGGGCCCCGTAACCCAAAGGTTTGCGATCAATTGCAAATATGAAATAATGATTTTGGTTGGTTAATAGTAAGCCTTGTTAACAATATGTGCATGCAAGGGTAATTTTGATTGGCCATTACTATTTTGCAACTGATCGCAAACCTTTGTGTTTATACAGGTCTCAGTCTTTCAAAATATTACCAACTGGTTATATTTTCAAACAAGTTGGATATTTAATACCAAAAGATTGGAAAAGTAGACAAGACAGCCTTGCTCAGGCTACGTATTAATCATTTAAACTTTGTAAGAAATTATATTCTAGATGATCTGCATTTATATGACAACTCGTATATTGTACCTTTGTTTTGGGACTAATAATTTATAATGCAAAGTGTAAATAACAAGAATGATTTTGAATGATCATTCTCAATCTCTCTCTCTCTTTTCATCGCTCATTTGTCTCTTGAGATCTCAATTATCTTGAAGCCTCGATTTTCTTGCCATTTTTTTCTTTGACAGGGGTTATTTTGTAGCATATATTTTTGACAGTAACCTTAACTGTAGATTCTTTACACACTATAAATGTGACGAACATGTTTAAAACTGGGAACAGCTTGCGTTAGTTCAATACTGTTAGTTTTATTGTATTAGGATTATATGTACTATACATATACAATGGATTTTATTGATTATTTGGCAGATGTTCTTGCATAGACTACAGTATCAAAATATGGATAATATTTTTTTGACAAGAAATTATTACTGACTGAATAGGTTTGGTGCTATAAAAATGATCTAGACAATTTTATTTTCCTTTAATGAATTTGCTATGGGGTATGAATGAGGGATGATGAACTTGATGTGATACCTCTGTGATACAATTTTTGATGCCCCATGTGATTGTTTAAGTCCAAGGCCAGTACATTATCAATGTGAGAGCATTCAAATCATTGTATTAAATTTACCATTTCTGTTTTCTGTAGGCCCTTTTTTTTTTTTATATAAAGAAAAAATAATAAAAAATGGGAATTTGAAATGTAATCAAATATCAGCCAAGGAAAATATCAAATGTAATGTAAGTGAATCCATTTTATATTTTATTTTCAATTTGTTAATAGTATTGGAATTTGACAAATTAGGCATGAACAGTTTTCTTCTTGAACTCTTTATAATGACTTCATGCTTATTTGCGTGAGAAAGACTCTTTATGTGTTTCTTAATGAATTACTGTTTTTTTTAGTTACCCTCTAATAGGTTAAAATGACTGTGTTTTACATGAGCAAAACACATTTTAATGTACCAAATGTAAAACAGGTGTTAATTTAAGGTGAAATTGTCTTTAAATAAAGTTATGTTACATATTGTATAAAAGATCATGTATATCAATTCAACCCATAAAACTATTGAAATATTAAATGCATTAACATGTATGAACACTAAAAATCTGTCAAAACATTGATTATTGTGTGTAGCGGAGTTGGTGTTGGTTTGGTGGTGACAACCACGATGAAGATGATGATGGTGATAATAATTTGTAAAGTTGACTGTAAGAGAGCAAGTACATGCTTGAGGGACTTGGTAATGAGGATTATTGCCTTGCCAAAGGACACTTTGACTTGGTTTTGAACTGAGGACCTCCCATTTAAGTTACCACTGATCTATTAATGAGCTATTGGACCTCCTTGGATGTGTTCTATTGCGGGGAGGGGGGGGGGGGGGGTATGGAAATATCAGGATGAGAGTTGGAATGAATGACAACTTATTTTGTAAGGAGATGGAGAAAGGGGAGAGAGAAGAGAAAGAGCAAGAGAGAGAGAGGGGGAGCAAGAGAGGGAAAAGGAAAGAGAGCTAGAGAGAGAGAGAGAGAGAGAGAGCGAGAAAGATCAACAGTCTTATTTTATATCTATTTCTGCAAATCTAGAATAAAAATATATCATAAGGAGGGATTTGCTCTTCTTCCTGATCAAATAAATGTACATGTCCTACTGAAAGATCCCTTCGTGAGCAGCCCCCCCCCCCCCCCCGCCCCACCCACACAACAAAAAACAAAAAAACAAATGAAACCGCCAAAACATAACATTATCAAATAAACAGAAGTGTGAATCTTAACAAGTGACATCATATTAACTCACAGATATAAGGAGGAAAACAAAAAAGAATGGCATATATTCTCGCCATTTCTGGCCAGGGTCCAGGTCTGGGCTTGGGTCAGGTATTGGAATATATATATATATTCCAAAGAGCAATTAATAGACCAGGTTTCAAAGACTATTGGAAAATACATATTTTAAAGAGCAATCCCACCCAGGCGGATAACTGAAGCCTGCGTTGTGTGTTAACGTGCCTTGTTCATTGATGCAGCCTATATTAAGTGGAAAACACTTCGTCCCTCGGATAGGATGTTAAATGGAGGCCCCATGTAGAGAAGAGTCACTACCTTTGAACATTAAGAACCCACTGCACTATTCATATAATTATAAGAGTAGGGGGAAACCCCGGTCAGGGAGAGTGTTAGAGCACTTTTCCTGCCCCGGTGTAGTGGTCCACCTGCACACACCCCAGTATAGTACGATAATACTCTGTTGTAAAGAGGTATGTACTCAAAATGGAAGAAGAATAGACAAGGTTTTAAAAAGGAATATATATATTCCAAAGAGCAATTAATAGACAAGGTTTCAAAAAAGAAAAAGAAATATTGGATTGGATATCGGATAAAGTTTTATAATACATGTAGTATGAAAAGGCAAACAAACAGTTGTTAAAAAAAGGACCCCCCCCCCCAAAAAAAAACAAAAAAAAAAACGCTCTTTTGATGCAGATGAATTCAAACCATTTGTCACACCCTCTTCAGTTTTGAAATAAGGATTGTGTGTGTGTGTGTGTGTGTATTGGGTTTTTACAGACGTGTATCAATCAGATATGATTATTTACGTCTGGGACCGACCTTTAAACGTCACCATCCGAAAGACGTGACTCAGTTTCGAACCTGCGTCCTCGGCTGAATCAGTTTGTAACTTCCACTTTTTAGCTGGATCACAGGCGCACGCCACAACGCCTAGTTTGCTAACTGTGATTAATAGGGCGAGAGATGGCGCTCGCCTTATTTGGTGATAAACAAATCGCTACTGTTGATAATGTCGATGGAAATGAAATGGCGTCCTGAGAAACCAACATGACAACCAAGTTTTCTAGGCTACCCCCTTCTGGTAAGAATATCTTTTATGATAACAATAACTTGAATGAACAAATACATAGTAATATATTCTTTGTCGGATAAAAAGTTTAATCGTTAGAATAACCAGAGATGCGTATTAAAGCTAGAGTAGAACAAGGGCAAAACTGAACCGTGTAGCCTGTAGGACCTACGGAGTTGCGCCTTCGCGCCCGGCCGCTAGAGACGGCTGCTGCGGTGGTAAAGCCCAGCAGAGGTGGCTCTATAATTATAAAGGTGACGTTTCGTAACTCGTCATTACTGTTTTTAGATCTAATCACTTTTCCTTGTCTTTCGAGTATCGAGGGAGATACACAAGTTAAAACGATCCTGAAACGATTCAATGACGACCTGCAAATGTGTGCTTTGAGGATATATAATAAGCCTCTGTCTCTTATTAAGTTATGACACGGTATTCGGTAATAATAATACTAATAACTGCCAATGCCATAGTCTAGGCATAGCAGCAAGGCCAAGGCCAAGGGAAAGAAAGTGAAGAAATATCAATCGTCAAGACGTCACCTAACTCCAGGAAGCTTCGACGCCGACGCCAAAGGCGTCAAAGCTTCAGCAGCTGATAGGAAAACATTCAAACAGCGGGTTGGGCAACATCTCAAAATATGAGTAGCCGGGTCTAGAATTTCTAGACTCTAATTACAATTTTGACTTACTACTAAACGTCTACTAGAAATCTAGTACTACTAGGTTGCTCGGCTCCTCTGGGCATCTCGCTGGCCACTTGAAATTATAATTTGAAAAAGTTTTTGATGGATTTTTTTTTTCTTTTTCGCGGATTGGGAACCTGAGACCTGCAAAGCGCAGAAGATGAAAAACCGTCCACGAAAATGTGGATGATCCTGTACTGTGTACTTGTAACTTACTTACGGTTTTTAACCATCAGGTCACATGCGTTTTGATGCTTTCATTAGAGCATTGACGGAAGCCCTTGTCTATCATGCAGTAATGTCATTTTTTCTTGGCTACAGTACATGTACACTTCACCTGTATATCACTGCATGACACTGTTCACATGTAAATATAATCTGCACCTGAAATCTGTTTGTGCCATACTGTCACTGACTGCATGCAAGCCACTCTCATAGTCATACTTTACATTGTGTTTATCTTCAGCATTGAAGGATACACTTTATACAGAAGAAGAAGAGAGAACTTGATTTACATTTATTTTCTTTCTTCTTTCAGGGTCAAAGAAGCCACCAACAGCAAACACCTCTCAACTCACCCACGATACTGCGAGCAAACAACTTGGGAATGCACAACTCCTCTTCGAACCCTCTCCACCTAAAATAGAGAATACCGCCAAGAACCGTTCACCTAGTCCAAGCATCAGACGCAGGACACAGAGTGCCAAAACTTCACACAAAAAAGCATCAAGGTCTTTGTTTGCTTCTCCCAGTGGTAGCTCAGAAAGGAGGCCCATATCAGCAGTTGTTCCCGGAGAAAAGAAATACTTTCCTACGTCCAAGCAGGATGGACACAGCGATGCCACCAGTAGGAGACCGATTCATGTTACCATGCCAACGCAGTTCTTGGAGTTTGAGGAAAGCGAACCCTGTCCTCACCACCCATCATTGGCAGAACCCCTTCAGAGGCATGTACATGTACCGAGGAGATATCAGGTTGAACTTGAGTTCAAAGGTCGTGGACCTGAAGATGTAGCAGGTCGTTGTCAAAGTGCGATTGGAAAGAACTTGAGGAGAAGTAGGACGTTTCCAGATGATTGTTCAGCGAGTGAGGATAGTGCAGATACTCTGCCTCGCGGTATTGCAGCCCTGGCACCGTGGTTAACACCAGGTTTACCAACAGAGTGGTGAGTACATTCTGGAATCCACAATATCTATTAGTTGATTAGCTAGCCTAAGTGCTTGAACCTTGAAAGTTGACAAGACAAGACAATATCTGAAGCAGGTTATTCCAAGCTTACTGTGGTGGGATGTGTTGTGACAGCAGCTAATGGTGCAGAAAACTATGAAATGGTGTACAATTTCAATGTACCACGGGCATGCAAGCTTGAATTAGATACGTGTGACACCATTGTAAATATCATGTAATAATTTTGGATGAATAAAAAGTTATAAGTTGTTCCTTCTTTAAATTAAAAAACAGGTTTCTGATTTTTAAAAGGGGATATGTTGGATTAATGGAACTTTATTTGTTTTATGTTTACCTAAATCAAAATGATACTCTTAAAAACTCCAGCAATCAAAATCACTGAAAACTCTTCTCACAGAGTTTATTTGTAAATCATAATTGTAAACTGTGTGGCACTGAAATAGTTGAACATCCATGTAAAATTAGAATTGATATTGCATTCAGCGAGATTTTCATTTCCATGCCCTCCTCTATTTTAATGTTCACAGGACAGGGGTAGATGCAGATCGCTGTCTGGTGTTCCTGCCATCTCTGTTGGCTGAATCTGAAGCCTTGCCAGTGGTACCCCCACCCCAGGAAGCATCGGATGTCATGCCACACAAATCACCCCCTCCCCAGCCAAGGCCATTTGTAAGCACTAATATTGGTTCATTTCCGTATGATTTGTACTCTGTTCAGACACAAAGTGGTCAACTGCTTTGAAAACAAAACACGCCAAAGCAAAAATGTTGTTGTATGAAAAATGCTATGGTGACAGTTGCTACTTCTAGGTCGAGTGTACTCGCACTGATTTGACAAGCTTTTTCCATTCAGTTTTATTCTCCATGATTTTTGGGAGCTCCTGTCTTGGTAGACAGGTGTCTTTTTCTAACTGGTCAATGTAAGTCATTGCTGGGCGCCCTCTGGTGCGTTTGCCCCTTGAGGGCTCCCAGAAGAGCATTTGTGAAATGATTTTGCTCTTGCTCCTCCAGTAGTGCCCACTGAAACGGAGGCAATGGTCTCTCAGTCTGGCTTAGATCGGTGTAATGTCCCTATACAATTCAACATTGGTCATATGGTCACTCCAGTTGACATTTAGTGCTGCTCTCAAGAGTCTTGTATAGTTGCTCTTACAGTCAATATCCTACAATTGCCAAATTGTTACATGTAGCTTCAACTTTGGATACTACGCTATAATCATACACTTAACCTAAAACAATGAAATCCCATTGTAACCCAAAAGCATAATCCTAAACTTAACCTTAAATATCTTTGATGTACTTAAGCACATTGTCATCAGAATAAATGTTGGATCACCCTAAAGTTGAGTGTCGGGTAATGACAAGCGGCAATATATTGGAGAGTAAAAAATGTAGCTGTCTGCCGCAATGGTTCCTGTGAGTAGTCTCTAACCTTAGTGCTGTAAGCTGCGCCTTGAGCATTTGACTGTCAAGTGGATTTGGCGCCTCATAAATCTTATGTATTATTATTATTATTATAAGATAAAGAAACATGAAGTAAACTGC